AAAGTTGTACGTATGATAAAAAGTTTCGCTGATCAGAATTTCGAGGATGTAACTGTAAAAGTTCACGAGTGCTGTTAGATGAAGGATATTCTTCAACTATTAGCTAAGCAGTCATATTTCGCAATCGTGTAATACATCCGTAATTATTTAGTTGATATTAAATATTTAATTTCTCGACTTTTCTCACATAGGAGACATTAGAATTTTTCTATGAATTATTCTTCATGTAATCACCTGAGAAGATGTTAAAATTTTGAATCAAATGTGTTTCTGAATCGTTAATTAATGTTTTTACCGTCATCGATACCTAAAAGAACCTGAGTCTATCTAAAGTTTTCGTGTAGGTCCAACTCCTAGTACCAACGACCCAGCTGAATATTCGGTATCCCTCACATTTCTTGCTTCTCGTCACTAAGAAATCGCTCTTCGATTCAAAAAATTTTCGTTCTCTCTCTAGTTGCCTTACCATAAGGAGGATCAAGTGTTTCGAAGTGATATATAATTGAAACTGCTCAAGTTTGATTTAAGTTATTGTAGCGTTACAATATTGATTACCGACATAACACAAGCCTCATTAGTGTAGTCAGACGTTGTAATATCGCGATCTAACAATGACTTTAAGTGGAATAGTTAAGCGACAGTTTTTTTGGAAGTTTTCCATAATGTATGAACGAGATCTATATGATGAAAGAATATTCGTTTGTATTCAAATTACAAGCTATTCTGAAACCTTATTGAGGTCAGGCGACAAAGGTGAAATATTTCTTGAAAAACGCATAGGGAATTAGTTTTTCGAGCTGTCCATTATTGCTGATAGATGCGGAATTCGTACTGATCGGATAGAATTATTTCCGATATAAAGTCTAGCATCCAACACTGACCTACAGTAAGTACCAATTCTGATGGGGATGTTCGTTATTGTGTCGGATTATCTATCATTCCAGTATTATTGTGTGCTGATAACGTATTATAAATAATTTATTTGAATTTTATATTTTTCTAGACTGTACTAACGAGTTATGGCTACACCGGTTGAAATTATTAAAGAGAAAAGTAAGCAAATACTATTATTATGGGAATCGAAACGCATCGAGAAACTTTTAACAACAATATATGCCGATGATGCTTGTTTTCTCGACAATGGCGTTACCTACAATGGTCACGATGAACTACTGAAAGTATTTGAAAAAATTCAAGATATCAAGTTCGAAGTAACTTCTGATGAGGTGTCAGTTGTCTCCGATGATTCTGTTATACAAGCATTACAATGTAAATGGGATGGTGCAGATCGAAATGGCAAAGTTACATGGAAAAAAATTGATAATGACTGGAAAGTTACTTGCGAAGAATGGTATTGAGAACAACGTCGAATGATCATTTTGAAACATTATAAACTCACTTAAACTAGTATTTAACCGAAACTATTTTAGGCACTTGTACCATTTTGCCATATTCTCACACTCATTGTCATTGTGATTTGTGTGAGTTTGTGGGTTAATTAGAGTGAGGATATGACTAATAGGAGCAAGTAGCAATTTTTACTGTGTAGTGGTATTAAACTAACATATTTAATGTCATTAAACTGCATTAAAACAAGTATAACATGCCCTATATAATTTGAAAAAATACGATAATCTCCATAAATGGAGATGAGGCATAGTTCTGATAATAGAAGCCAGAGGTTATCTCTCACTTCAACTCGAACAGCTATACACAAAACTCCAATATTAGAAGTTGGGAGCTTTGTACAGTTTCTAACAGCAATTGGCCAGTAAAAAATTCTACTTTTAAAAGTTAGAAGTAGATTCTATTGGGGTTCAGAAAGCAACGTGTACTGACGATTTACAAAGCAAGTGCTTTTCGATTTTTCGTATCATCTTCTTGTCACTCAATAGTCACGCTGGAATCCAGCAGACTTTTCAAACAGAGGGTGTGGGTTTCATTTCATTTCATGACCACCCATATCTGCCCACACCCCACACCCACCACATCCACATGAGGTATGTTCAGATTTCCGAAAAAAAGGAAATTACAGAAATTTCCGAAGCTTCCATAAACTCGATAACTACATGGCAGAGTGAATGAAAATTTTTTGGAAATATTGGAAATTTTAGAAATTTCGGAAATTACATGATTTTGGGAAGTACCAAACAATTTAGAACACAAGTGCTTGAAATTTCCGAAACTTCCAAAATTTTCTTTTTCGGAAGTCTGAACACTGCTAATCCACATCCATACTCCCACACCCACACCCACACCTTTCTTTATTCTACCAAACTAGAGAGAGTTTCGTAAAGAGGATACAAAACTTTATGCGTTTTTTGAGCCTAGAAATGATTTAGTATGAGAGATACTAAACCCGGCGAATTTTTCTGAACCAATAAAGGTTTGGCAGGGACAGCGCAAAACGATTTTCATTTTACGAAACAAAAAAAGGGTTCCGTATTCAAATACGAAGCTTGTAAGGTTCAGTAATAAACCTATGTTTTCCAGAGTGTATCAACGCATCCAAAGGCAGTTTATGGTTGATCTTCACATTTTACATATAGAGCAATATTTTCGAAAATGAAGTTTATCGGTGCTTGACAATAAAACCCTATTTATCCCCCAAAATCTCCAGGATACGTGGAGATAGTTGTCTCTCCTCGTTCACAGGGTGATCTGTCAATGGATTACGTGCATATGAGAAGGGAAATAGAAAGTAAGCGATAAAAAGAAAGACTGCATATGTTGCAGGCAAGTAGGTAGTGCGCATTTTCGCACTATGCGACGAAGAGAAGGATGAGATACAAAGAAAATGATAAACAATAAAAAAGAGGCCACCTTTCTCGGAGAAGTGGAGTGACGTGAAATGTCGTAGGTATCTAACTAAGATAAGGATACTGTGGAGAAAAAAATAGCAGAGAAGAAAATGAGAGTCGACGCATCTCCTAATTCGGTGCGAAGCAAAATGTCGTAAGTATTAATTCAAGGTAGGACAATAGAGCAATAGGACAAACACAGAATTGAAAAATATAGAAAGAAACGATACATGACTTAGACAAATGCATATGCCTAGGACAGCTCTCAGCTCTTTGAACTGTCTATTTTCCAAGAACTGGATAGTGACCAGCCAGTTACGGTGCCAGGAAACTAGTAAGGGATATGTTATCAGTTACCGGGTGACGGAATTCTGCAAAAATGAGCGTGAGCTGTACACCACACTATTGACTAATCGCACTTGAGGAACCTGTTTTCCAGCTATTTCAAGCACAAAACATACTGATCTTCGGGTCACATGAAAGAGGACTCTGAATAACCCCATGATCGGCTTGAACATCAACATGCTTTGTCCTTACAATAGTAGAAAAAAATAATACTGAAATCTGATTGTCTGAGTACTTTTTCCATCTATCAATCAGATTCGATGTCGCTTTACTTCAGCTATTGTAAAGACAAAACATATTGATATTTGGACCAATCATGGAGTTATCCGGGGTCCTCTTTCATTTGACCCGAACATCAATATGTTTTGTTCTTACAATAGCTGAAATAAAGCGACCTCGAATCTGATTGACTGATGGAAAAGCTGTCGGTCAATCAGATTTTAGAGTAGCTTTTCCTCAATATGGTAAGAGTAAAGCATAGTGATGTGGGGGGAGGGGGGATCATAAGGTTATCCAGGGTGCTGTTCGGCTCCCTCGAGTGTGATTAGTCAGTAGTGTGGTGTACATCTCACGCTCATTTTTGCAGGCTTCCGTCACCAGGTAACTTGCTAATGGAAGGGTAGCTGACCTTCCCTAGTTCCTGTCAAAGAACTGGCTGGAGCAGTTCTCAAGATCGGAACTGATATGGAATTGTCCTATGCCTACACGTTATTTACTTGAAACATGATCAAATTCAATTGAAATTCGCTACAATAATTTAATTATGAATACTGCAACATCAAAATATAAAGGTTTTGAGATTTATTTAGAATCTGTGCAACATGATAAATGTCGTCCAACACCTTCACCTGAAATTCTAACACAATCATTTATTAGTACATGTTAAGTTATTTGTGAATTGACATATGAACGTTAAAATGTTAATTTTGATTATGCAGCTGGTTATGGTCTAGTCTTTTTTATAATCAATCCTTTTTGTTACAAAAACACCTAGTAATGGAATATTACTCAATATATATGTTTTTATTCAGGTCAACAAATTAATTCATTTACTCATCCGACATCATTTTAGATCAGCATTACTTGCATGTCACCCACACCCTCAAGCGGATTCAACACAATTTTATTATCAATGCTTACTAATGAGACCATCATTAGAATATTCAACTGTCAAGTTACGCGCTAATTCACAAACTTCAAGTGAGAAGGGCTTTATCGAAACATTGCATTATTCAAGTACTTATCAAAACGAAAAACAACAATATTCATTAACTATTCGAATACCAAAAAATAATAATACTGAAAAATATTCTATTTATTTTTATACAATTGAATTATCTTTACGTGACACTTGAACAATAAATCCATTATCATCTGTTGAATGTTTTGATTCAATAAAATATGCTGATGATCACAGAACAAATTCATTATGTTGAAAAATTGATCAATCTGTACTAGAATATTATACGAATAAACAAGAACTCACTTTAACACTTAATATATCAGAAGCATTACCGTTTAGTGAATCAAGTAATTGGCAAGATGCACGATTGGCGATCAATTTTTACCATTTCTATCAACACCATTCAGCACAAAAACAACAACACGGAAAATACCGACAGCAACATCTATAAATGAAACAGATCAATCATGAAATGGAAAGTCGAATCCTGAAGGTTTTATTGCTGCTATTATTGTTGGCAAATTGGTTGTAGGAATTATAACTGGTTTTGGGCTTTATCGTCGTCATTTACCATTAAAATCAAGTATCAGACTTACAGTTAAAAATGATAATGATAATGATATGATTACCGTCAATGATATTACAACAAATGGAGAGACTGGGTGTGGGTGAGTTGGTATGGGACGGATACGAACAAGACCAAATCCACACCCACACTCCAAGTTTATTGAAATTTGGCATTCGACAATCATAATGATTTGTATATAAAACATTGATCAAAGAGAATTTTTCACATTAGATTAAAATTTCTATAAAAAAGAAACAGAAAAAAATAATAATTTACGTACAGTTGTCAATTCATAGTTTTTTGTGATACACATACCCAGTCAGACAAGCACAAAAAAAAACGCATAAAAATATTACGAAATTTTAAGGAAAAAAAAGTCGTAAAAAGTGCACATTTTTCGGATTTTTTTTCGTTAAAGTTCATTGACGCGTTTTATTTCGTTCAAAACTTTAACGCATTTTAACGCGTTAATGAACGTTAACGGAAAAAATCCGAAAAATGTGCGCTTTTTACGACTTTTTTTCGTTCAAAATATTTAACGCGTTTTTACGCCTTTGTTTTTTGAATTGAGAATATCCATAGAGTGAACAATAATATTCTATTAACCTGATCTAGTTGAGGAATAGTTTCGATGCGTTCTTAGGAATTCTAATTATTTTCCCGCCAAATAGCTATGAGTTCTTAGTTGATTTTGGTCTATGAAACTTAATATAAAATTAAACCATAAAGTTCTGTAGACTAAAATTAACTAAAAACTCATTGTTATATGGTGGGAGAATAGTTAGAATTCCTAAGAACGCATCGAAACTATTCCTCAACTAGATCAGGTTAATAGAATATTATTGTTCACTCTAGGAATATTCTCAATTCAAAAATCAAACGTGTAATGATATGCCAAGATATGTGACAAAAATTATTCTACTCTTAAACATCTCATCTAAAGACTATACTTTTAGTGAAAATTAAAAAATATTATATTATTAGTGTCGGGATTTTCTTGAATTTCTTTTTTGTATTGTCAGAAGATATAAAATTGGACAGACATAAGAGACATATATTTAAGGGTGTCATCTAGACAATGATTCAACATTGATCGTACTTAATTGATATAAGTATTTAGAAAGTGCATTATTAGAAAACATGTTAACATATGTTTATCAGGGAATTATCTACTCTTTCTTTTTTTAATTAGGGGTGGAGAAAATACTACTCACTCCCAATCGTGTTTTTCATTCTCTTATTTTGAAACGCCATTCTAAACTTGATGTCGATGTCGACTTTCACATAGTTAAGATAAAAATTCAACAACAAAAAAAAGTAAAAGCTAGTTTGATAAACATAAAACATATTGTCTAATAATGTACTTTCTTAATAATAATGCAACTTAGGCATTATAAATTTTGAATGATGCGCTAAGATATTATTCTCAAACGTGCATCTTCTGTCTGTTTCACTTCATAT